CTGTCGATGATGTGTTGTCATCACTCAAAGGTCATAAGTTTATCATGTGTTGTTATCCCTCAAAGGTCATATGTCTCTGATGTGCTGTCATCACTCAAAGGTCATCTGTCGATCATGTATTGTCATCACTCAAAGGTGATCTGTCTATCATGTGATGTCATCACTCAAAGTCATCTGTCAATGATGTGTTGTCATCACTCAAAGGTCATCTATCGATGATACATTGTCATAACTCATAGGTCATCTGTCGATGATGTGTTGTCATCACTCAAAGGTCATCTCCCTATGATGTGTTGTCATCACTCAAAGGTCATTTGTCAATGATGTGTTGTGATCACTCAAAGGTCATCTGTCGATGATATGTTATCGTCACTCAAAGCTCATCTGTCAATGAAGTGTTGTCATCACTCAAAGCTCATCTGTCGACGATGTCTTGTGATCACTCAAAGGTCATCTGTCGATGATGTGTTGTCATCACTCAAAGGTCATATCTTTATGATGTGCTGTTATCACTCAAAGGTCCTCTGTCAAATAATGCGTTGTCATCATTCAAATTCATCTGTCAATGATGTATTGGCATCAATCAAAGGTCATCTGTCTATGATGTATTGTGATCATCACTCAAGGGTCATTTGTCGATGATGTGTTATCATCACTCAAACATCATCTGTCAATGATGTGTTGTTATCACTTAGAGCTCATCTGTCGACGATGTGTTGTCATTACTGAAAGGTCATTTGTCGATAATGTGTTGTTATCACTCAAAGGTCATCTGTCTATAATGTATTGTCATCATCACTCAAGGGTCATTTGTCCATAATATGTTATCATCACTCAAACATCATCTATCAATGATATGTTGTTATCACTTAGAGCTCATCTGTCGACGATGTGTTGTCATTACTGAAAGGTCATCTGTCGATAATGTGTTGTTATCACTCAAAGGTCATCTGTCTATAATGTATTGTCATCATCACTCAAGGGTCATTTGTCCATAATATGTTATCATCACTCAAACATCATCTATCAATGATATGTTGTTATCACTTAGAGCTCATCTGTCGACGATGTGTTGTCATCACTGAAAGGTCATCTGTCGATAATGTGTTGTCATCACTCAAAGGTCATCTGTCTATAATGTATATCATCACTCAAGGGCCATTTGCCAATAATATGTTATCATCACTCAAAGCTCATCTGTCAATGATGTGTTGTCATCACTCAAAGCTCATCTGTTGACGATGTGTTGTCATCACTCAAAGGTCATCTGTCGATGATGCGTTGTCATCACTCAAAGGTCATCTGTCGATGATGTGTTGTCATCACTCAAAGGTTATCTCTCAATGATGTCATGTCATCAGTCAAAGGTCATCTGTCAATGATGTGTTGTCATCACTAAAGGGTCATTTGTCGATGATGTATTGTCATCACTCAAAGGTCATTTGTCAATGATGTGTTGTTATCACTCAAAGCTCATCTGTCGACAATGTGTTATCATCACTCAAAGGTCATCTGTGAATGATGTGTTGTCGTCATTCAAAGGTCATTTGTGTATGATGTGTTGTCATCACTCAAAGGTCATCTCCCTATGATGTGTTGTCATCACTCAAAGGTCATTTGTCAATGATGTGTTGTGATCACTCAAAGGTCATATGTCGATGATATGTTATCGTCACTCAAAGCTCATCTGTCAATGAAGTGTTGTCATCACTCAAAGCTCATCTGTCGACGATGTCTTGTGATCACTCAAAGGTCATCTGTCGATGATGTGTTGTCATCACTCAAAGGTCATATCTTTATGATGTGCTGTTATCACTCAAAGGTCCTCTGTCAAATAATGCGTTGTCATCATTCAAATTCATCTGTCAATGATGTATTGGCATCACTCAAAGGTCATCTGTCTATGATGTATTGTGATCATCACTCAAGGGTCATTTGTCGATGATGTGTTATCATCACTCAAACATCATCTGTCAATGATGTGTTGTTATCACTTAGAGCTCATCTGTCGACGATGTGTTGTCATTACTGAAAGGTCATCTGTCGATAATGTGTTGTTATCACTCAAAGGTCATCTGTCTATAATGTATTGTCATCATCACTCAAGGGTCATTTGTCCATAATATGTTATCATCACTCAAACATCATCTATCAATGATATGTTGTTATCACTTAGAGCTCATCTGTCGACGATGTGTTGTCATCACTGAAAGGTCATCTGTCGATAATGTGTTGTCATCACTCAAAGGTCATCTGTCTATAATGTATATCATCACTCAAGGGTCATTTGCCAATAATATGTTATCATCACTCAAAGCTCATCTGTCAATGATGTGTTGTCATCACTCAAAGCTCATCTGTTGACGATGTGTTGTCATCACTCAAAGGTCATCTGTCGATGATGCGTTGTCATCACTCAAAGGTCATCTGTCGATGATGTGTTGTCATCACTCAAAGGTTATCTCTCAATGATGTCATGTCATCAGTCAAAGGTCATCTGTCAATGATGTGTTGTCATCACTAAAGGGTCATTTGTCGATGATGTATTGTCATCACTCAACGGTCATTTGTCAATGATGTGTTGTTATCACTCAAAGCTCATCTGTCGACAATGTGTTGTCATCACTCAAAGGTCATCTGTGAATGATGTGTTGTCGTCATTCAAAGGTCATTTGTGTATGATGTGTTGTCATCACTGAAAGGTCATCTGTCGATGATGCGTTGTCATCACTCAAAGGTCATCAGTCAATGATGTGTTGTCATAACCCAAAGCTCATCTATCCATGATGCGTTATCATAACTCAAAGCTCATCTGTCAATGATGTGTTTGTTAGAAACCGAAAGGTTGAGTTTATTGATGAAGCAAAGTCATTACATAGGAAGAGAGAGATGAGCTAGGAAGGGAAGGTTGGAAGGGAAAGGGGGGTTAGGACCAATCACAAGGGAGGGAGGATCCTTCCAAATGTGGTTGACCACCAGTTGGAGGTGGTCCAAGTGTGGTGTACCACCAGTGGTTTAGCCAACCCACTTGTGTTGCCCCCACAATTGTGGTCCTTGTGTTTGGGGTCTCCAACCACAATTGGGTTGGATTGACACCCCAACACAGGTGTACACCCAACTAGGGATGTAAACACAATATACACAACTAGCATAGCATGGTATATTCTAACACAACCCCATAGCATGCAAAGCTAGTGTATATGTAGGGTACAACCCCAGAATCAGGAAGGGGGGCGGGGCCCAAGGCCGAGAAGGCAGAGGAGGGCAGAGTGCGCGGTCTTCGGGAGGGCCGTGGTGAAGATGTCGGCCAAGTTGGCCTCTGCAGCGATCTTGCGGACCACCAAGTGACCTTGCTGGACCAACTCTCGAACGAAGAAGTAGCGGAGTGCAATGTGCTTGGAGCGGCCATGGAAGACAGGGTCCTTTGTGAGATGGATGGTGCTGGCGTTGTCGCACCAGAGGGTGGGACAGCGCTGAGGAGCACCGATCTCAGCAAAGGAGGAAGGTGAGCCAGCGAGCCTCCTGAGCGGCCATGGTGCAAGCATAGAGCTCAGCCTCGCAGGATGAGAGGGCGATGGAGGAGGAGCGAGTGGAGCGCCAGCTGATGAGGCCGCTGCCAAGGGTGAAGCCGTAGCCTTGAGAGGAGCGGCGATCCGGCTGGGAGTCAGCCCAGGAGGAGTCACTGAAGCCAGAGAGGAGGGGAGGAGAAGAGCCTCCGAGGGTGAGGACATAGTCCTTGGTACCACGGAGGTAGCAGAGGACCCGCTTCGCTGCAGCCCAGTGCTCATCAGTGTGGCGACCGGTACCGACGAATCGAGCAAGAACACTGATGGGGTAGGCAAGGTCAGGGCGGGTGCACATCATAGCGTACATCAGCGAGCCGACGAGCTCAGCGTAAGGATGGTCAGAGGAGGAGGGAGCAGGAGGAGGGGCAAGCTGGTGGTCGGTCTGCAGGGGAGTGGTAACCGGCTTGGCCTGCGCCATGTCGAACCGCTGCAAGACTTGGTCGATGTAGAAGGACTGAGAGAGGGTAATGGTGCGCGATGTGCGGTCCCGGGTGATGGTCATGCCCAGATAGTGCTTGAGCTCATCCAGGTCCTTGCACTTGAGGCGCGCATGCAGGGCGTCCTTCACTTGCTGCATGGCAGCAGCATCGTCAGCGAACAGGATCATGTCGTCGGCATACACCAGGATGAAGAAGCGGGTGGGAGAGGAGCGAAGGAAAAGGCTGGCATCAGACTGAGAGGCATGGAACCCCAGGGACTGCAGAGTGGCGGCCAGCTTGTTGTGCCACTCGCGAGGAGCCTGCTTGAGGCCATAAACCGGGCGGCGCAGCTCCCAGACTGTGTTGGCAGGGAAGGCTGCATGAAAGCCTGGAGGCCGCTGCAAGAGGACCCGCTCCTGGAGCTCGCCTTGCAGGAAGGCGTTGGAGACATCCATGGAGGCAATCTCCATGCCAATGCGAACAGCATAGTCGAGGATGGCACGGAGAGTTGGGAGCTTGGCAGTGGGAGAGAATGTCTCCCAGTAGTCGATGCCATGGGTCTGGGTGAAGCCCTTGGCACAATACCGGGCCTTGTAGACCGGCTCCTCACCCGGCAACTGCTTCACTCGGAACACCCACAGGCCTTCAACAATGACGTCGTCAGGAGAGGGGACAATGTTAACGAATGAGGCATTGCGGATCAAAGCCTCGCATTCAGCAAAGATAGCCTGGATCCACTTGGCAGCATCGGGGCAGGTGATGGCCTCAAGGAAGTTGGACGGAGTGAATCTGGTGGGAGCGGTAGCGATGCCAAGAATGAGGAGGCCAAGGAAGCCCGGGTAGAGAGGCGTGAGGGAAGGTGTTTGTTGCTGAACGCCAATGAGCTCCTCATGGGAGTCCTCAATGAAGGGAAGGGAGGGTGGGGGTGGTGTTGGCCAACCCCATGGATGGCCTATGAGTGGGCCGTGAGAGCGAGTGTGGATGCGTGGGAGGATGAACGGAGAGGTGGTGCGACGATGCCGATGAGGTTGCTGCAGTGGCTGCTGCTGCTGCTGCTGCTGCTGCTGCTGCTGCTGCGGCTGCTGCTGGTGCTGCTGCTGCACCTCCTGCTGCGGCTGCTGTTGCTGCACTGCCTGCGGTTGCTGCTGCTGCTGCTGCTCCATCCGCTGCTGCACCTCCTGCTGCTGCTCCATCCACTGCTGCTGCTGCTGCTGCTGCTGCTGCTCCTTCTGCTGCTGCTGCTGCTACTGCTACTGCTGCTGCTGCTGCTGCTGCTGCTGCTGCTGCTGCTGCTGCTGCTGCTGCTGCTGCTGCTGCTGCTGCTGCTGCTGCTGCTGCTGCTGCTGCTGCTGCTGCTGCTGCTGCTGCTGCTGCTGCTGCTGCTGCTGCTGCTGCTGCTGCTGCTGCTGCTGCTGCTGGTGCGATGAGGTAGAGGGAGCAGGGGAGTCAGGGACAGCTGGGTCGAAAATGTCACCTGAGGAAGGAGGAGGGGGAGGAGCAGGATTTGGAGGAAGGAGGGGAGCCTGGGGAAGGAGTGGGGGAATGACAGCATCAGCCCAGGTGAGGGGGCGGGAGAGAGGAGGAAGGGGGTAACCAGGGACAGAGGACGGGTGAAGGAAGAGGTAACCAGGGACAGAGCGAGCGTGGCCAAGGTAGACACACTCAATGGCCTTGGAGGCAAGCTTTCCTGCCTGCCTAGAGCGGTCAGGTGGGGGGATGAGGACATATGCCTTGCAACCCCAGATACGGAGAATGGCAGCATCTGGCTTGGTGCTAGCCCAGAGCTCTGTGGGAGTGACGGACTGGCGTTGAGGATGTGGGTAAAGATTAGTGAGGAGAGCAGCATGGACAAGGGCATAGCCCCAAAGAGAAGGGGGCGTGGAGGCATGAGTGAGGAGGCAGCGGGCCGTCTTGGTGATCTCACGAATGCGACTCTCAGCAACACCGTTCTGCTGAGGGGAGTGGGGAAGGGTATGAGTCTGCTGGATGCCATGGGTTGAGCAGTAGGAGGAGAGGGTGCGGTTGAGAAACTCACCACCGCCGTCGGAATGGAGGCGGCGGATGGGGCGACCAAAGTGGACACAGCACTGCTCGGCCCAGGTAACGATGACAGCAGGGGCCTCGGCCTTTGTGTGGAGAAGGAACACCGAGGAGTACCTGCTGTGGTCGTCGACTAGGACAAGCATGTACCGGTGCCCTTGGCGGGAAGGGGAAGGGTTAGGGCCCCAGAGGTCCATGTGGACGAGGTCAAGGGGGGCAGCAGCAAAGGAAGGATGACTGAGGTGAGGTTGTTGTTTGAGCTTTCCATGAATGCATGTGGCGCATGGGGCAGCGGAAGAGGACGGGAGGGGAGGAAGAGTGGGGGGAAGACCGTCAAGCAAGCGGGAGGAGACGGCTTTACGAAGTGTGGAAAAGTTCATATGACCAAGGCGATGGTGGATGAGAACAGCGGGGTGGGACAGTGCGCGACAAGAGCATGGGGGGGAGGTGGAGTTGGAGGAAGGTGGCTCTAGAGGGAGGGGAGGGGGGAGAGTGGAGGTACCTGCACGAGTGGTCACGTGGCATGAGGAGGGGCGCGGTGTGCTGAGGATGTACTGACGAGAGCAAGGGCAAAGTGGGAGGCGATGAAGGAGGCGACGAGTGGGGCCGTGGAGGAGGTCACAGTAGGTGGCAGAGGCGGGGAAGAGGGTAGTGATGCCAGCCTGTTGGAGTTCACGGATGGAGAGCAGGTTATGACGAAGGGAGGGAATGTGGAGACCAGTGACCACTCCAGAGGGGAAACGGGGGCAGGGGAGGGTGGAGAGATGAGTGCAAGGGATGGAGAAGCTGGAATCAGCACCATGAACGTTGGTGGGGAAAGGGAGGGAGGTGAGGGTGCCGGCGTCTTTGAGGGCAGTTTAGTGGCACCACTATCGAGAACAAAGTCATTTGTGAGCGAGGAGGGAGCTGAAGACACGGGGTACTGGAAATCACTGGCATTAAAAATAGAGGGATACATGGAAGTGGAAGCAGGGGAAGAACGCATGAGCTCGCCTAGAAAGCTGGAGTGGGAGGCGGGAGCACTAGGGGAAGGAGAGCCCCAGAGGGAAAGCCAGGAGGACCTGGTGTGGCTGTGGCAGCCATGGCGGCGGTGCCAAAGCCAAGCTGCTGCTGCTGCCATGCAGATGCTGCGGCTGCGGCTCCTGCAGCTGCGGCTGCAGCCTGACCACCAGAGCCCCACTGCTGCTGCTGCTGCAGCAGCTGCAGCTGCTGGAAGCGGCGAAACTGCTGCAGCTCCTGGGGAGTTATGGGGTCAGCGACAGAGGAGGAGGAGGAGGAGAGCTGAAGAGGAGAGGGGAGGAAAGACGGAAGAGTTTTGACATCCTGGAGAGAGGGGCGGGGATCCATGGCAGACCAGCGTGGGGGTGTGCCAGTGTTGCCGCGCTCGAACCAGGCGTCATCATACGCCTTGAAGCAGGTCGCGGGGGGATGGTTGGTTTGGGTGCAGCGCTCACCCGCCCTGGGACCAAAACGGCGAAGATAGGAACATGGGGGGAGAGTGCCAGGGCGGCCACCACGGCTACCAGATGAGCCACCACTGCCTCCACCACCACCAGTGCTGCCACCCTCGACCCCTCCACCACCGCCGCCCGCTCCGCTGCCCCCACAACCGCCACCTCCACCCCCTCCCTGAGGGTTGGGGCGGCCGCCACGTGGGCGCCCGCCACGACGCGGCTGTGTGACTGCAAGCTGGGGGTTTTGGGACTCAGTGGAGTTCAGCCCGGGGGGGGGGGGTTGAGAGAAGGCGGGCCTCAGCGTCAATGATCCATTGGACCCCAGTGTCAAGGGAGGCGCGGGGCTGAGCCTCAGTGAAGGCGATGACGCGCACTTCATATTGAGGGGAGAGGCCTTCGAGGAGACGGTAGATCTGAAGGTTGGGGGGGAGAGTAGTCTGGCGAGCCTCAAGGCGGGAGGCAAGGGCCAGGAGACGGCGGGTGTAGTCAACGGCGCCAGCACTATGTTCGATCGTGATGCTGAAGTATTCCTTGAAGAGCGGTCCGACAGCATCGAAGTCGGTGCGTTCAAACATTGGCTCAAGCTCGAGCCAGATCTGGCGGGAGCCGATGCGATGTGCCTGGAAGTTGCGCATGAGCGCAGACGGGATGGCAAGGAGAAGGGCACCAGTAGCACGACTGTCCGCCTCGAGCCAGGAGCGACAACGCTCAGCAAATCGCGCAGAGTCAGCGGCATAAGCGGCGACGGTAGCGGGATGCTGGGTGCGGAGGGTTGCGGACCGCTCGTGTTCCTCCAACGCGATCAGGTAATCAGTATGGAGCACGAGGAACTCACGACGCTGAGTAAGGAAGAGCTGCTCAACTTTAGCGGTGGCAGTGCGAGTGCAGGTGCCAACGGGTACCATGGGGGGCGGAGGTTCCTCGCCGGGATGGGGAATGAGAGGGGGGGGATCGCCAGGGTGAGGCGGCGGGTCCCCAAGGTCACCCTTTGGGAGACCAAGCATGATGTCCAGGAGGCGGAACGGCAGGACATATGCACTGCCGAGGACGCGGTGGAGGCTGCCGACGAAGGAATACCAGTTGGCTGCTGCTGCTGCTGCTGCTGCTGCTGCTGCTGCTGCTGCTCCTTCTGCTGCTGCTGCTGCTGCTGTTGCTGTTGCTGCTGCTGCCGCTGCTGCTGCTGCCACTGCTGCTGCTGCCGCTGTTGCTGCTGCTGCTGCTGCTGCTCCTTCAGCTGCTGCTGCTGCTGCTGCTACTGCTGCTGCTGCTGCTGCTACTGCTGCTGCTGCTGCTGCTGAGTCTGCTGCTCCTTCTGGTGCTGCTGCTGCTTCTGGTGCTGCTGCTACGGCTGCAGCAGTGGTAAGGCGGCGATGAGCAGGTGCAGGTGAGGAGGCAAAAGATGGGGAAAGATGGCAGTTAGCTGATGAAAATAGGACTTGGTAGAAATTTCAGTAGCACTTCGTGATCACATCCAGGAAAGTGTGCAAACTTCGGAAAGCGATATCTGAAAATCCAAGCAATGAAACAGTCCGAAATTTTACGACGTTGTAGCTGACAACAAGAGCGTTCTTTTGCAAGGCGAATCACTCGATTCTGTCAACTATCGAGCGAGCTATGGTGTTTGGCGCATTGGGGGTTTTTGAAAATCCACCCAACAGAAAACTAGTTGAGAGGCGGCGGCTAGGAGTCTAGCAGCGGCGATGGAGGGGACGGCAATGAGGTGCACGTCGGAAGGGGACGGGGCGGAAGCGTGGGGAAGGATCGGGATTTAAAAGTTGGCATGAGCCATTATTGCTCTATACCATGTTAGAAACAGAAAGGTTCAGTTTATTGATGAAGCGAAGGCATTACATAGGAAGAGAGAGATGAGCTAGGAAGGGAAGGTTGGAAGGGAAAGGGGGGTTAGGACCAATCACAAGGGAGGGAGGATCCTTCTGTTGGTTAGAGAAGGCTATAAGCAGATGATTCAATGGCTCCTTGGAAATTTCTGCAGCACTTCGTTATGACGCCCAGAAAACTCGCGACCTTCGAATAGCTATATCAAAAACTCCAATCGGTGAAACGATCTGAAAATCAGATATGTTGTAGCTTGCAGCGTCAGCTTTCCTCTGAAAGTTGAATCACTTGTTTCCGTAGCTTAACGAGCGAGCTATGGCGTTTGGCGCACTGGGGGGTAATCTGCCCTAAGAGAAGTTGACAATCCTCAGAGTCACTATAATTGAAGCTTACGAGTTCAGAGGCATGATGGAAAAGGCATTGAAGCACAGTTGGAAGGTAGGGATGGAAGGGAAGGATGAAAGGGAAGGACCCTGGAGGCCCATGGTCAAGAACATGACAAGAGTCAAAGTTTTGACTCCCCATCCTCAGGTTCAGCCAGCCTGGCAAGACAAAATTCACACTGTGCCAGGTTGGCCTCCAAACCCCAAATGCTGCAGCTGCAAGGTGGGGACAAAAGTCCCACACATGCTGGTCCCTCCTCGTTATAGGGCTCTCCAACTTTGGTGTAGCAGCTGACAAGGACTTCCAATGAGTTGTAACAAATCCATCAAACATTTCTTCGTAACTTCTTCATATGTGCTCCAATTCCAACAATTCTTGGCTCGTTGGAATGTGCTCGATGTCATGCACAAACCAAGCACATCTGCACAAGCACAAGATGAACATGCAAAGATATGCAAACCCAACAAACCATACAAACAACGTAGCACACAAAACACATGCAAACGAAATTATGCGAACAGACGACAGGATGACGTGCAAATGAATATGCACCAACACCTTCCAGATGTGGTTGACCACCAGTTGGAGGTGGTCCAAGTGAGGTGTACCACCAGTGGTTTAGCCAACCCACTTGTGGTGCCCCCACAATTGTGGTCCTTGTGTTTGGGGGCTCCAACCACAATTGGGTTGGATTGACACCCCAACACAGGTGTACACCAAACTAGGGATATCAACACAATATACACAACTAGCATAGCATGGTATATTCTAACAGTGTTGTCATCACTCAAAGGTCATGTGTCGATGATGTGTTTTCATAACTAAAATGTCATCTCTCAATAATATGTTGTGATTACTCAAAGGTCATCTGTCAAATAATGCGTTGTCATCACTCAAAGGTGATATGTTTATGATGTGTTGTCATCACTCAAAGGTCATATGTCTATAATGTGCTGTCATCACTCAAAGGTCATCTGTCGATCATGTGCTGTCATCTCTCAATGATGTGTTGTCATCACTCAAAGGTCATTTATCAAATAATACGTTGTCATCACTCAAACGTCATATCTTTATGATGTGTTGTCATCACTCAAAGGTTATGTGTCGATGATGTGCTATCATCACTCAAAGGTCATCTGTCTATCATGTGATGTCATCACTCAAAGTCATCTGTCAATGATGTGTTGTCATCACTCAAAGGTCATCTATCGATGATACATTGTCATAACTCATAGGTCATCTGTCGATAATGTGTTGTCATCACTCAAAGGTCATCTCCCTATGATGTGTTGTCATCACTCAAAGGTCATTTGTCGATGATGTGTTGTGATCACTCAAACGTCATCTGTCGATGATCTGTTGTCATCACTCAAAGCTCATTTGTCTATAATGTGTAGTCATGAATCAAAGGTCGTCTGTCGATGGTATGTTGTCATCACTCAAAGGTCATCTGTCGAAAATGTATTGTCATCACTTATAGGTCATCTGTCGATCATGTGTTGTCATCACTCAAAGGTCATCTGTCTATGATGTGTTATCATCACACAAAGCTCATCTGTGGATGATATGTTGTCATCACTCAAAGGTCTTCTGTCTATCATGTATTGTCATCATCACTCAAGGGTCATTTTTCGATGATATGTTATCGTCACTCAAAGCTCATCTGTCAATGAAGTGTTGTCATCTCTCAAAACTCATCTGTCGACGATGTCTTGTGATCACTCAAAGGTCATCAGTCGATGATGTGTTGTCATCACTCAAAGGTCATATCTTTATGATGTGCTGTTATCACTCAAAGGTCCTCTGTCAAATAATGCGTTGTCATCACTCAAATTCATCTGTCAATGATGTCTTGGCATCACTCAAAGGTCATCTGTCTATGATGTATTGTGATCATCACTCAAGGGTCATTTGTCGATGATGTGTTATCATCACTCAAACATCATCTGTCAATGATGTGTTGTTATCACTTAGAACTCATCTGCCGACGATGTGTTGTCATCACTGAAAGGTCATCTGTCGATAATGTGTTGTCATCACTCAAAGGTTATCTTTCTATAATGTATTGTCATCATCACTCAAGGGTCATTTGTCCATAATATGTTATCATGACTGAAAGCTCATCTGTCAATGATGTGTTGTCATCACCCAAAGCTCATCTGACGATGATGTGTTGTCATCACTCAAAGGTCATCTGTTGATGATGTGTTGTCATCATTCAAAGGTCACTTGTCTATGATGTGTTGTCGTAACTCAAAGGTCATGTGTCGATGATGTGTTGTCATAACTCAAAGGTCACCTCTCTATGATGTGTTGTCATTTTTCAAAGGTCATCTCTTAAATAATGCGTTGTCATCACTCAAAGGTTTGTTGTTTATGATGTGTTGTCATCACTCAAAGGTTTGTTTGTCGATGATGTGTTATTATGACTCAAAGGTTATCTGTCGATGATGGGTTGTCATCATTCAAAGGTCATCTGTCTATGATGTGTTGTTATCACTCAAAGGTCATCTGTCCATGTTGTATTGTCATCTCTCAAAGGTCATTTGTCGAAGATGTGTTGTCATCACTCAAAGCCCATCTGTCAATGATGTGTTTTCATAACTCAAAGGTTATGTGTCGATGATGTGTTTTCATAACTCAAAGATCATCTCTCAATGATGAGTTGTCATTATTCAAAGGTCATCTGTCAAAGTATGCGTTGTCATCACTCAAAGGTCATATGTCTATGATGTGCTGTCATCACTCGAAGGTCATTTGTCGATCATGTGCTGTCATCACTCAAAGGTCATCTGTCAAATAATGCGGTGTGATAACTCAAATTCATCTGTCAATCATGTGTTGGCGTCACTCAAAGTTCATATGTTTATGATGTGTTTTCATCACTCAACGTTCATCGGTCTATGATGTGTTGTCATCACTCAAAGGTCATCTTTCAATGATGTGTTATCATGACTCATAGCTCATCTATCGATTATGTGTTGTCATCACTCAAAGGTCATCTGCCTATAATGTATTGTCATCATCACTCAAGGATCATTTGTCGATGATGTGTTATGATCTCTCAAAGCTCATCGGTCAATGATGTGTTGTAATCAATCAAAGCTTATCTGTCGACGATGTGTTGTCATCACTCAAAGGTTATCTGTCAATGATATGTTGTCATCATTCAATGGTCATTTGTCTATGATGACTTGTCATCACTCAAAGGTCATCTGTTAATGATGTGTTGTTATCACTCAAAGGTCATCTGTCTATGATGGGTTGTCATCCCTCAAAGGTTATTTGTCGATAAAATGTTATCATCACTCAAAGCTTATCTGTTGATAATGTGTTGTCATCACTCAAAGGTCATCTGTCGATGATGTGTTGTCATTATTCAAATGTCATTTGTCTATTATGTGTGTCATGACTCAAAGGTCATCTATCGATAATGTGTTGTCATCACTCAAAGGTCATCTCTCAATAATGTGTTGTCATCACTTAAAGGTCGTTTGTCGATGATGTGTTGTCATCACTCAAAGGTCATATGTCTATGATGTGTTGTCATCACTCAAAGGTCATTTTTCAATGATGTGTTATCATGACTCAAAGCTCATCTGTCAATGATGTGTTGTCATCACTCAAAGCTCATGTGTCGATGATGTTTTTTTATAACTCAAAGGTCATCTCTCAAAAATGTGTTGTGATCACTCAAAGGTTATCTGTCAAATAATGCGTTGTCATCACTCAAAGGTTATATGTTTATGATGTGTTGTCTTCACTCAAAGGTCATCTGTGGATCATGTGCTGTCATCTCTCAAAGGTCATTTATCAAATAATGCGTTGTCATCACTCAAATGTCATATCTCTATGATGTATTGTCATCACTCAAATGTCATGTGTCAATAATGTGTTGTCATCATTCAAAGGTCATTTGACTATGATGTCTTGTCATGACTCAAAGGTCATCTGTCGATGATGTGTTGTCATCATTCAAGGGTCACGTGTCGATGATGTGTTGTCTTCATTCAAAGGTTATGTGTCGATGTTGGTTGTCATCACTCAAAGCTGATCTGTCAATGATGTGTTGCCATCATTCAAAGGTCATTTGTGTATGATGTCTTAGGTCATCTGTCGATGATGAGGTGTCATCAGTCAAAGGTCATCTGTCTATGATGTGTTGTCATCACTCAAAGGTCATTTGTCTATGATGTGTTATCATAATTCAAAGATCATCTGTCAATGATATGTTGTCATCACTCAAAGCTCATCTGTCTATGATGTGTTATCATCACTCAAAGCTCATCTGTCAATGATGTATTGTCATCACTCAAAGCTCATCTGTCGACGATGTGTTGTCATCACTCAAAGGTCATTTGACTATTATGTCTTGTCATGACTCAAAGGTCATCTGATGTGTTATCATCACTCAAAGGTCATCTGTCTAGGATGGGTTGTCATCCATCAAAGGTCATTTATCGATAAATGTTATCATCACTCAAAGGTCATCTGTTGATAATGTGTTATCATCATTCAAAAGTAATTTGTCTATTATGTGTTGCCATAACTCAAAGGTCATCTGTCGATAATGTGTTGTCGTCACTCAAAGGTCATGTGTCGATGAAATGTTGTCGTCATTCAAAGGTTATGTGTCGATGATGTGTTGTCATCACTCAAAGGTCATCTCTCAATGATGTCCTGTGATCACTCAAAGGTGATCTGTCAATGATGTGTTGTCATCACTCAAAGGTGATCTGTCGATGATGTATTGTGATGACTCAAAGGTCATCTGTCTATGATGTGTTGTGATCACTCAAAGCTCATCAGTCGACGATGTGTTGTCATTTCTCAAAGCTCATTGGTCAATGATGTGTTGTCATCATTCAAAGGTCATTTGTCTATGATGTCTTGTCATGACTCAAGGAACATCTGTCGATGATGTGTTGTCATCACTCAAAGGTCATCTGTCTATGATGTGTTGTTATCACTCAAAGGTCATTTGTCGATGATGTGTTATCATCACTCAAAGATCATCTGTCAATGATGTGTTGTCATCACTCAAAAACATCTGTCAATGATGTCTTGTCATCACTCAAAGGTCATCTGACGATGATGTGTTGTCATCACTCAAAGGTCATCTGTCGATGATGTGTTGTCATCACTCAAAGGTCATCTGTCGATGATGTGGTGTCGTAATAAAAAGGTCATATGTCGATCATGTGTTGTCATAACTCAAAGGTCACCTCTCTATGATCTGTTGTGATTTTTCAAAGGTCATCTCTTAAATAATGCGTTATCACTCAAAGGTCATCTGTCGATGATGTGTTGTCATCATTCAAAGGTCATCTGTCCATGATGTGTTGTTATCACTCAAAGGTCATTTGTCGAAGATGTGTTGTCATCACTCAAAGCCCATCAGTCAATGATGTGTTGTCATAA